TTTTGTTCCTGTCTTACCACAGGCAGGCACCATTGGGGAGACGTTGCCGCTGCAGCGGTGCTGCGGATTGCTGAGCATCATTTCAATGTCTGGATCAACCACCAAATGAGTGACAAGTTTGAGCATTAGAGTTTATCAATTTTTAAAAGGTGCAAAACAAGCACCAGCAACAAACTCCCATTACCTTTCAAGCTCAGTCGGCCACTGCCGACGTCAATCAGCGCACCTACCATCCGCCGCACCTGATTGTAGAGAAATGACTTCGCCTTGATGTGCAGCTCGTAGAAGCGCAGCCTCGAGTAGGCCTCCGTCTGCAGCTCAAAGCTGGTCAGCGGTGGCGGACACTGGTGCAGCTGCAGCAGATCCAACGTCTTCACAGTGTCCTTCTCGCGGTTGTTGCTATCCACGCTGGAGAAGTTGGCAAAGTCGTGTCGGCCGACGAAGAGCTCCGTGCACTGCCGGACCAGGCTTATGTCTAGTGAACTTTAAGTTTTTGAAATTGAAATGGGAATTGCTTCAACAAATCGCCGCCCACCTGACTATGTGGCATCGGTTGACCTGCGAAACGGGCAATGATGCGAGAAGACTGTAGTACTTTGCCTTGGTGGACTGATTTGAAGAAGTAGAAGTTTCCGAATCCGTTGACTGATCACCATCATCGCCATCAGATGCTACAGCTAATCTGTACACGTAAGAGCGATACTTGGCGTTGATGCGAGAGTGAAAGTAGCTTGGAACTAGTCGAGTTTCTAAGACTCTGCAAAAAATTGAATCCGAAAATAAAAATGCTGAAAACAAACAGCAACAAAATCTTACGTAATCTCGTGGCTTTTCATTGCTAGAATGCGGTTTACCGATTCCGTGATAAAAGAGGGCTTGTAGATGGTGTCAGGGAAGGGATGTGTCAGATCGACGTTCAGTGTGTTCTGGTAAGCATGAACTCCGGCGTCAGTTCGTGAGCTACAATGTAAAAAACTTGATAAGTCAACCGATTTGTTTTAAAACTTTATCAAATATACCTTATTCCCATTCTAGAACCGAACACTGGCAAGAGACCACGATCAAGGGCATTCTGGTAAATATAAACAAAACGTTAAAAAATGAAATCTGCAAATAATACTTTACCTCAAGAGCACACTGAATCGTTCCATCTTCTTCGGCGAATCCTTGCGCATCACAAATACCCTCTCTCCGAGTCAATCGTTGAACACCTCTTTAGCGATAAAGTCAAGTTGTTAGTTGCAAAAAACCCAAACACACAAAACCCCGCCTTACTTGTATCGCGTGCCAATGTACGACACCTTCAGTAAATATCGACATGTTTTCAGGCCTTGATATGAGACCATCGAAGCAGATCTGGTTGTGGCTGAAATCTGTTACTTCTTCACAGTAAAACTTTAATGAATACATCCGAACTTCAGGCGCCATGTGGTGAAATACAAAAAAAATAAACATCAACACGGGCGACTATTTTCATGAATCAGCAGCCAAAGAGACGCACAAGGCGAAAATACCCGAAACGCCGGGTTACTTTCTCTGCCGGGCAATAGATGGCATCTAATTTTTGGTCAAATTGTTATTTTTCAAAAATCGAAACAATCCAATTTTAATTTGGAAAAGTCTATTGTTCAGCTTTAAAAAAACCATTTTTGTTAAATTTTTCTACAAACACATTTCAATAAATGCACAAACTACCAGATAAAAAACAAAAATTTTTATTGCATTTTTCTATCAAAACCAGTAAATTTTGATATTCATGAGAATGCTAAAGAAAGGGGAAAAGGGTAAAACCATAAAAATCAGTTACAATGACTTCATTATTAGATTGGACGCAGTATATTAATAACTTAATCATCTTTTTCATAAAACCACTTTATTGTGCCCCAAATTGCTCCTGCATAATATAATCTGTCCCCCGTCTCCCCTTTACTGCAAGCTATAAAAAGGCGGTTTTTCTGTCTAATTACCGAAACACACATGAGCCAGCGACTGCTGTTCAAAATGCTTTAAAATGCTGCCGCTGCCGCTCAATTTGCGCCGCTGCTCATTTGGGTAGCCTTATTTTCATTGCATTCACTGTGAGGCGCCGACTGCAGATGCCACCATCATTTTCACTGATAATGACATATCAAAAGAAGAAGAAACCGTCTGGCCGCAAATTAATAGTCGTAGATAAGTTAATAAAGGAAAGGACTGAGAAAATTGAGACATTAGACAAAAAGAGATCATGCTAAAATTAGAAAGAAAATCAAAATGCGGGGTCGCGCCACTGAAAGTTTGTTTCCCCCAGAGATGTGAGAAAGAATTGATGCGGATTCAATTTTTTTTCTTCTTCAAAATGAGAAGTCAAAAGCATCAACTTTTTGCTCAACTCTGTCTGTCTGCTGTCTGTTTCGCAGACCATCTGCTTCCAGTCCACACTGCAGTTTTTCAGGCAAAAGAAAAAGAAGAAATCACTTTTGAAAGTGTGTACAAACAGAAGAAAAGTAAAGTAACTTCAAGTCAAGTCTTCATGAATGCTTTATGAATGCCTGCGATTTACTTGCAAACCGATTGAGAAAAGACAGAAAAAACTTTTTGCCGACTTACGCTCTACAAACCTTCTTGGTCATTCTCTCAATTTTCTTCTCATTGAGACACAGTTTATTTACACTGGGCACGCTGAAGAGCTGAAAACTTTGAAGCAGAAGAAAAGGAAGAGGAGAAAGAAAAAGCTAAGGATACTCTCAGGAGAGTATCAACAGTTAGGACCAAAAAAGTTCCTAGTAAGCTACTAAATTGTTGATGTTATGTCGTTTTCTCTTTTGTTGTTTTTTGTTGCTGCTAAACAAACAACAGCAGCACACTTCAGCGGAACACTTCAGCGAACAAGTAGTCTAGTGCTTTGAATAAGGAGAAGAAGAAGAGGAAGAGGAAGAAAAAGTGCTGGTTGACATTTAAACTTTCCGCTTTTTCTTCAAGTTTGAAACATTTTTATTAAGTAGCCGCCTAGCAGACTGCCTGAATAAATGATAGACCACACGCACACGTAGTAGACTTGTACAGTGGTCCAAATGTTCTAAATGAAATAGTCTGACGTCAAAAGGAGCTAGTGAGAACTTATCGATGATACAGACTGTTTCATCTGTCCCCTTTTTTCCGTTCTCCCTGTTTTTCCTCTTCGTTTTGATTCACAAAATTAGCTGCCTGATTTCGATCAGCAGCAGCCAGCCCAGGCAAATAGAGATTGTGAAGTCCACAATGAAAGAAAACGAGAGATCGATGCCTCGCAGTGTTGTGGCCTTCACTGCCCAACAGCAACTCACAACTTCTTCTCTGCTTCTCTGATTCGACAGACAATTTGTCTCCGTTTTCTGGTCAAAGAGAGTGTAAAGAATAAAGCAAAGGAAGGGAAGAAATTTGCTGGCAGGCAGTCAAATGCACTCGGAGAATGAGAGGGAACTAGAAGAGAAAAATGCAATCGATTGTGGTCATTGCTGAAACGGACTTCATAACACACACAAACTAAACACAAACTCACACACAAACTGAAATGTCACTTCAATTAGAACTTGCAGTGCAGGGTCCAACTACTAAACTACTACTCTAATCAGAGTAGAGCAATGATGAGAAGAGGATGAAAGAGGGTAAACTGACTGACCAAAGGGAAAGGGGAAGAGAGAAGTAATCAGCGCAAATTGACTGATTTGCCTGAATGTGTCAGCAGCATCGATTGCTGTGCCTCTGCTCGTTTTTGTTTGCTGTTCAGCTTTTTCTCGGTTGTTGGTCTTGTTCAAGTTGAGTCAGAAGCACGCACAAAAAGCCCCGACTTTTTTTTTGTTTTTGTCAGATTTTCTTCTGCCTTGATTGTCTTCTAATTTACTTTCCTCATCATCCAATTTTCTTTTCCTCTTCTTTTTTTCTTTCCCATAATTTCTTTCAGCATCATTAGCGCATCATCATCCAATCCAATGCAATCCAGTTGCCGACTTGCGCAGCTAGGCTCAGCAAAACTGAAAAAGCTGAAAATGGGAATGGCTGTTTTCCCATTGGCACTCGAGTTCTCAGTCGATTGAATTTTGGCGTTGGCTGCTGTTCTGCCTGCTGCTGCTCATTCTTCCGCTCCATGTCTTGGTTTACAGTGCACTTCCACTAGTGCACTTCCTCTCCATCGCTCTCTCTCTCTCTCTCTCTCTCTCTCTCTCTCTCACTGCACTTCAGTCAGCCAGCGTTTGCAGTGTAACAACAGCGGCTCGTAATAATAATGCAAGCGGGTAGCTTTGTGATTCACGATGCTAAGCACCAGCAGAGCTAGCCGCTGAAGTCCGCTTTTTAAAGTGTCGCAGCAGCAGCAGAAGCATTGGGAATGCCGCTTTCGGAAACGAGCCGCTTACGAGCGAGACATAGTCCTCGCAGAAAGAGAGCCCTCGCCGTTGTCCTCGGCGTCGGCGGCCGCCACATTTGTTTCCATTTACCAGCGACGATGCAACTGAGTTCAGTAAAAGAAGAAAAAGAAGGGAGCCGCTGACTTTCTCTCTTTCTGGGCGACAATCTTTGCCAATCTTTTTCTCATTCTCTCGGTCTTTTTCAGCATCACACACACTCACACACACTGACATGACATCTATTTTTCCTGTCGTCGCCGAAGATGTTATTGTTGTTGCTGCTGCGACTGTTACTGCTACTGCTGCTACTACCACTGCAACTCTCTGATTAATAATATTAATTTGGCACTTTGTAACGGCTGCTGCTGCTGATGCTGCTGTTGATGCCGCTGCCAAGGATGAGGACAAAAAAGAATGATAGAAGGGGATTGTGTGTGTGATCCCTCAAACTATAAAACTGCGAGACAGCCGCCTTCCTCTCACCACACTCAGTAGTAGGCGCACTGATGAGCATGATTATTATATTATCTGGTTATGATTGCACTATTTGCCGCCCTTGCCCTTTTCCTCCTTTTCTTTCCCTTCCTCCAACTCTTTCTCTTTCTCAACTGTATCAACACAGCACATTGTATTTATTGGTCTGGAGAGTTGGCCAGTTGAGGAAAAGGAGAAGAAAATGGAAAGAAGACAAAGTTGAACAATAAGAGTGATAAATGGAATGGAAGATGCTGCTGCAGCTCCGTCTGTTTTCGTCTTTTGGTCTGCTCTGCAACACTGCTGTTCTCACTTACAGTGGGCACATCAGCACATCAGCACAACAACTTCGAGCATCAGCGAGGTTCCCCCGCCGCCGGCCTAGTGAACTGTGCTGATAGATAGTGAAGAGAGGGATCTGAGAACTATCCGAGAACTAGGATCTCTTTCCTTCTTTTTCTCTTTCTTTTTCTCTCTCCAAGTTCTAGTTCTCTTGTCTGATGCTGCTGCTGCCGGTGCTGGCCAAGAGAGTAAGAGAGAACGCTGAGAGCTGAAGTCTCTTGTTGTACACTACCACCACTTTCAAACGACGTCAGAGATTTCTGCCTCCGATCAGGATTCCTTCCTCCTCTTTCTCCTCCATCAGAGCGACATACGGACACACACACTGATGCTGATGCTGATGCAGACGCAGATGCACAGACCAAGACTGACTGACTGACTGACTTCAGATTAGGCAGGGAAAAGAGGCAGCAATCTGGTAAAGAGATGTGCCACCATCGCCGACGACAACGACGACGACGCCGCTTCCTCTTCTGTGCTAATGGTGGTGCCCATTGCTGATGCTGGTGCTGGTGCTCGTGGTGTCCACACGCACTCTCTCGTGGTCCGCGGCACATTTTTTTTGGTACAGCAGCAGCAACCAAAAGGGCGCCAACGTCCGCAGCAGCAGCAGTTCAGCTCATTCAGCTCATTCAGTTTCGAGCTCTTCCCTCTCCTCTCCTCCTGCTCTTTTCCATCGGTCGGTGGTCGTCGGCGGTCGAAGGGAAAAAACCCTCTCACAGTGAACACAAGAAGAACCCTCCAGTGAGCCGCAACAGCAGCAGCTTTTAGAAGAAAAAGAGGAGGACGGCAGTCACTGGCCACCGAACACACACACACTCATACTCACGACCACCACCGGACAAAAATG